CTAATGGCAAATTTGTCAATGCCAATGGTGTTCAAGTGGTGCTCCAGTTGTTTTGGGATTGCACCCAAGGCGCCTATTACTATTGGTACTACCCTTGCTTGCTTTTGCCACAGTCTTTCTATTTCTATTTGTAGGTCTTTGTATTTTGTTATCTTCTCCAGTTCTTTCTCGTCTATTCTGCTGTCTCCAGGCACTGCCATGTCCATTATCCAGACTTTTTTGTCTTTCTTATCGACAATTGTTAACTCCGGGGTGTTATGTTGCAGGTGCTTGTCTGTTTGAATTATGAAGTCCCAGAGCAGTTTAATTTTATCATTTTCTATGACTTTCTCTATTTTATGATCCCACCAGTTCTTGCTTACAGGCAAATGATATTTCTTGCAGATCTTCCAATGCACCCTTGTTGCTACTTTGTCATGCCACTGCTTGTAGTCAGTCTGTGCAATCTTCTTGCAGCAGCTTACCAGGTGGTCCACTGTTTCTTCAGCTTCTTTGCATAGGCGGCACTTACTGTATTATTATTATTATTATTATTATTATTATTATTATTATTATTATTATTGTTGTTGTTGTTGTTGTTGTTGTTGTTGTTGTTGTTGTTGTTCATGCTGGGGTCAATTACTAGCAACCACATAGATCGATTTTCTCTGGAGTGAACTATCCCCTGTCTGGTCCTTCAAATTTTCCAAAACTACATCCATTGTCACTATAATTGAGTCTCTCCACCTTGCTGCTGGTCAAACAGATTTCTTGGGAGAGCTAGGTCTTCATGTAAGGGCAACCTTGCCAAAGGATTAAATTCCACTAAAACCAGATTGACAGAGTTTTGTTTCATTACCATGCATCCTTTCTACTCAGTGTCAAGAACGTTCCAGTTTAAAAACCAGCCGGACTGAATAAAGTGCTGACAGCTAAAGAACTAGGACAAATAATTTTCCACAAACACTACAAAAAATAGTGTAGTGCTTATTGGCATTGCTTACTCTGGTGTAATGTTTCTCACCCTTGGCAACATTAAGATGTGTGGACTTCAATTCCCAGAATTCCACAGCCAATATGGGGGATGATGGGAAATACTGAGAGTGGCTGGAGAATTTTGGGAGATGATGACCACATATCTTACAACTGCCAAGGTTGAGAAACTGCTCTGGTGAATAATCTTTTAACAGAACCTGATATGGGGAATATTATTTATTTTAAACAATTATGTAGCTGCCCATTTTATACCAAACTCTTGGGTGATTCCCAAGTCGCTCCACTCGTTGGTCGCTCCATACCTACTTGTCCATTTGGCAGCATTCAACATAGTGTTTTTCTGGGCCACATGCAAAGGTTAGAATTGGCCAATCTTGTTTGCTTATCCTGGTAGGATGTTCAAGGTTTCCACCTATGTGAGCTAAGAAGAGTAGATCTCCAAAATAATGTTTTTCTGTGGTAATATCCATTCTGTGGAACAGCCTCACTTCAAGTTGGCACCCAGTTGGCAGCTGTTTGGAATTTTCCTCAAAGGCTATGAAGACATTTTTACCACAGGGCTTAATTATTGTGGACATGACTTTGGTTTGGTGTCTCAGTATGTATATTGTTATATGATAGAGCCATGGTGATGCAATGGTTAGAATGAAGTATTGCAGGCTAATTCTGCCAATTGCCAGCAGTTCAATCCTAACTGGCTGAAGATTGACTCAACCTTCCATCCTTCCGAAGTCTTAAAATGAGGGCCCAGATTGTTGGGGGCAATATGCTGACTCTGTAAACTCCTTAGAGAGGGCTGTAAAGCACTGTGAAGCAGTATATAAGTGGAAGGATAGATTTTGGTTTTTTCTAGATTCTTGTGCTTTCCTTTGTTTTTAATTGTAATCTAAATATCTGAGGGTTGCTGTGAGTTTTGTGATGGGATAAATAAAATAAGAACTAAGAATATACAAGTGGTATGTATGTATGAAATAAGTTTGTATATTATATGCACTGAGGACAAATTTATTTTGCTTTGTTTTACTTATTTTATAACTTAAAGCTGTGGCAGAAGTCCAATGTAACATTTCAGCTGTATTATTTTAAGAAACAGCTGCATGACACCCATCTTTCTGAGAAAAAAAAATGTTTCTCTGTGACAAGGAACACAGAAAGTATGCTAGTCCTTTATTCCTATTGACTTGACAGCTGACAGTTGCTTTCTGTGTGTAATGCCAAGAAAAAGGAAAAGAAAACTCAGAACAAAATGGGCATTTTGATTCATTAGAAAGAAAATAGATAAATGGTATGAAGGGAAATGTTTTTTATATAAAAATATTTATTCTTACCTTCTAATCACTTTCATACATTTTAATGTAAATTCATATAGACTATAGGCCCAAAATTAAGGGCACATTGTAAATATTGGTTTTTAAAATATACCTGCTGTCATACAATGCAATCATCCTTTCATAATCTCTCTCTGCTTTATGCCAGAAAGAAGAAAAGAGATAACATAGANATTTTATATGGTATGAAAGTGTGTTCCTGCAGCATTTTTAATTTTCCGTTGTAAGATTTCAAAGCTAAACACTTAAGATGGCAAAGTGTGTTGAACAGAAAGGAGAGAAGAATCCACCTGAATCTGAGATAATCATTATACTTTTGAGCTTAAAAGTTAAAATTCTTGAAAAGTTGATTTTCTTAGTTAAGACTGACTTTAATTTTTAAATCAAGTTTTTTGTGCTGACAGAAGATTGAATGGAAGTAAGAAAGTTATTGGGAATAAGGATGCTCATTGATTATGTATGTATGTATGTATGTATGTATGTATGTATGTATGTATGTATATCTTAATGACAAGATCAAAATGCCTAGACTGGGTCTGGTTGGCTACTTTATTGCTAATTTAGAGTTGAGGGTTGTTGTTTTTTTCTAGTCAACATAAGGTAATTAGTTATTTGGGACTATTCATACAATTTTCTATCCCTTATATTATCCTTTGTCAATCTATTATCAGGTGTCTCAGTCAATTTGGCTTGGAGCCTTGTCATCACTCTTATGGGGTATTTTAATAAAAAAAAAATACTGTTTCAGATCTTAATTGCTTTGGTTCACTTTATAGAGGATTGCTATTTTTTTCCATTGACCCTTCTCTCTCCCTTTTGTTAAAAGCAGGGCTTTTTTTCTCATAGAACTCCCAGAACGGAGTTCCGGCACCTTTTTTGGATGGAACCTTGTAGGGTAGGCAAGGCAGGTTGTATGACGTGTGTGAGTTCCGGCACCTTTTTTTTTTTTTTTTTTTTAGAAAAAAAGCACTGGTTAAAAGTATATAATTTTAATGCTACTGATTAGATCTTTTGTCTCTAAATTGATCATCTTGATACATTTTCTTTTAATTGTTACTTTCAATACTATGTTGACTGGTGGAACAAACATTTTCTCTTCAAGGCCCAGTCAACCAAATCAATACACCTAAAATATTTCATGGGATGAAGAGAGAGGTACACTGTTTAGAAGTGATTGTTATGCTTCTTGCAGTCCATTCCTGAAGAACTACAAAATGGGGACGGATTTGGATACCTTATTATGTTTCGGCCCCTTGGCTCCTTCAGCTGGACTAAAGCAATGGTGACTTCAGTTGAGGCATCGAAATATATCTACAGAAATGGAAGCATTCCATCATTATTTCCCTTTGAAGTAAAAGTGGGTGTCTTTAATCATGAAGGAATAGGCACCCTGAGCCCAGTACTTCTTGTGTATTCTGGAGATGACGGTAAGCAAAGTAGTACATATCTCATATTTTTTATCTATTTCTATCATATGAAACAGAATTTGGAAACCCATCTGAAATGCTCTCAGTAATATAGCTGATGCAATATGCACATGATGCTGCAGTGGTTTAATACTTAATATACAGGAAGTCTTTAAATTAAGTCATAAATCTTATGGATGAGATTATAAATCTTATTATTTCAGGAGATCTATGATGAAGTTTCTTCTATATTTCAGTTTAACAACTATGCAACTATGTTCCCAATATTTTAGAAATAGTCTGCTAAAAATTAAACAAGTTTTGCTGTGCCTCTACGGTTTCCTAGAGCCTCAGATAACACCAACTGGCATTTCAGTACAAAGCTCCTCATCTTCTGAAATGGAAGTCTCTTGGAACCCTCTTGCATGGACCAGACATACTGGAAGGATTCTTGGCTATGAGGTGTTGTTGTTGAAAACCTATTAAATATTCTCAGCCAAAATACATGCTTCCCATCTGTACCCATCTGCTGTTTTCTCTAAAATAACCTTGCCTGTTCACTAATTTCACATGTGTCTTTGTTCTTGCTGTAGTGTGCTATTTCACCATCTGGGTTTCACTTTTGACAACTGATCCTTTCTTCGGCTTAAGTAGTTTCCATCTCATTATCTTCTTATATGTATGAAACTAATATGTGTGTGTGTGTGTGTATCACTTTTTTGCAAAAAGGAAGAAAGGAAGGAAGGAAGGAAGAGAGGGAGGGAGGGAGGGAGAGAGGGAGGGAGGGAAAATGTATTGGTTTCTTGCATACCATAAAGCAAAAAACAAAGACTGGAAGTTTACATAGATCTTACATACAATGTTGATTAAAGATAAGGTGAACATGCTCATACCAGATTCAGGGATGAATCACTGTACAACTGATTAAGGAGGCAAAATAACAAGACTGCAAATGTAGGTAGCATTCTTGAAAAATAGCATAGTACTCTCTTATATATGCAAAATGCTAAGATTATAACTGTTAGTTTAACAAGGTGACCCTGTATTTAACATCAGAAGGAGGACAGGTAAGGTAGTAGTAACTACAGCTTTGAATCTGCTGCATCTAAAGGCATAATTTCTATAGATACCTGGAGCCAATGGCAGCTAGAAAGAATCATTTTCTGTTATTTTTCTCAGGCACGGCAAGCTGCCATTTCAGGGTCAAGAAGCAGGGTGAAACCTCAGTTGTATTTTGGGATCTTCTTGTGTCTGTAAGGATCCCCCCCCCTAATCTTTATTTTTAGTTCTTCAAAAGTTGGTGTTCTGCCAAGTTGACTGCTACCTCCTACTTTGTGTGAGTAATCCACACTTGGAAAACGACTTTGTTGTTAGAATAGCTAATGTAGTTCATAGACTACCAGCTAATTCTCATCAAACATTTTTTTAGAACTCAAAACAGGTCTAAGTCAATAGCTATTTAATTATAACTGCCTAGATAAAAATAATTTCACCTTTGGAGATCTAAAAAAGGAAAAAATGAAGTAGTGTGCTTACATACAGTATAATTTATATCTAATATGTGATGTAAGATGTTTTTATATCTTGATGACATTTATAAAATTATTTGTTCCTTCTGAAGCTTTATTTTTCAACTTTAATTGTCATAATTGAGGGAGAAAAAGTTTGTCTTTGTTATTAAACTTTAGGTCTTATATTGGATAGATGATTCCAAAGACTCAACAACTGGGAAAGTTAGAGTCAATGGCAACATAACAGCAAAAAACATTACCAGTCTTAAGGCCAATACCATGTACTTTGCCACAGTGAGGACTTCCACCACAGCTGGAACTGGTCCATCCAGTGTTCCGGTGAACGTAACTACAAAAAAATAATGTGAGTATCTTCAGTTATTAAGGAATAAAAAGCACAAATACATTTGCCTCCCAGTAGTAATAATAATAATAATAATAATAATAATAATAATAATGATGATGATGATGATGATGATGATGATGATGATGATGATGATGATGATGATGATGATAATGATAAAGTTGGAAGGGACCTTGGAGGTCATCTAGTCCAACCCCCTGCTCAGGCAGGAAACCCTATACCATTTTGGACAAATGGCTGTCCAGTTTCTTCTTAAAAATGCAGAATCTTTGCCATCTAGTATAGTAACATTCAAAATGTTATTTGAAAAACAAGTTATGATATGGATTCCTAATTACAATAAATTATTAAAATAAAAAAATGGCTTCTTTTCTTCCAGATCATGCTTGTAGTACATGAATTATCAAATATATTTTTGTGTTAGTCAATTACTCTAAAAGGAAACCTTCCTTTATTTTGTGTCTTGGGCATCTAATTCTTGAGCATAAGTTTCCAATAGGATAGTATAGCAAGGACAGTAAGTGGGTGTCCCTGGGAAAGGGCAAATTATGAAATTAATAGTGTGTCATCATAATGCAAGTTTCACCCATTTTTATATTTATATGATGATGTTGCACAGACAGACAGACAGACAGACAGAGTGCAGCCCGAGTCATAAAGCTCATTTCTTCATTGTGATCAAGACCATTAGATTCTACAGAGGCTTTGGTTGAATTTTTTTTTTAATTTACATAAAACAAAACATCTTAATGTTTAAATTGACACTTAGTTCCATATGCTATATAAATTGGGAATAGAAATAACATTGATAACAAATGCTTCTTTTCAAAAAAGGAAATAGTCCTTTTGCCATATTGAAAGCTTGATCATATTTACAGCTGGAATTTCTAGCAGCCTTGAGTTTAAAAGTGTGCTTCTAACATTTGAAATTTCAGCATCTAACAATAATATGATAAAGAAAAAGAAGCAGAGTTCTCTTTTTGTTTGCTGTGGCCTTTGGGCATGCACTTATTTTATTATTGATAAACATATTAGGAGAAAATGACTGTTGCTATTTCATTATAACCCTGTAAAAGAAATTCACCATCTAGGAAGGAATTAGGTGTGCTTAAATGCATTCATTTCAGCTGGCTTTGGGGCATTATTTACCAGACTCTTTTAAAGTATTAATGAATTCATATGATTTTCACTGGCATAACATGAGCCTTCAAAATCTCCATGTTTTCCCTTGGATAGGGTAGTTTCCCCATTCAAGGGTTGTACAAAATGTGAAGTTTTTTCTGAACTCACAGCTCTGCTTGATAAGCCGCTGGCAGCTGTGGCCAGAAAGGCCTTTGTACAGAAAGGACTAGTGTTCCACTTGAACTAGACATATTGGGTATGTCTAGTTTAATGAAGAGAAGGCGAGGGATGACATGATAGCAGTGTTCCAATATCTCAGGGGCTGCCACAAAGAAGAGGGAGTCAAGCTATTTTCCAAGGCACCTGAAGGCAGGACAAGAAGCAACGGGTGGAAACGAATCAAAGAGAGAAGCAACCTAGAACTAAGGAGAAACTTCCTGACAGAATAATTAACTAATACAACAACTTGCCTCCAGAAGTTGTGAATGCTCCAGCACTGGAAGTTTTTAAGAAGAGATTGGACAACCATTTGTCTGAAATGGTATAGGGTATCCTGCCTGAGCAGGGGGTTG